AGAGAGAGAGAGAGAGAGAGAGAGAGAGAGAGAGAGAGAGAGAGAGAGAGAGAGAGAGATTGCTTTGCTCCTTATTTGTTTGCTCACGAGAACAAGTGAGGGAATGGAGGCTTGGCCGTTCCTTGGGTGTGAACTGATGATCGTAAGGTGCACAGCTGTAACGGCCAATGGGCCCTTTCTCCTTAAAGGGGGACGGGTGGTATTTCAAGGGCTGTAGGACTTTGAGTCTTATTCGGCGTATCAGGTAAAGAAGGCTGTAATAACAGGCTACCTGCACAGGATATGGAATCATGAGCTTGTCAAACACGAGGCCGGGCCCACACTTCTGGCCCTGAAAATGGAGTTATGGAGAAGAGGGTTCCCTGATGAGTTTTTGGACTCCAGGCTGCGACTCTTCTCTCGTCTGAAAGACGGTGCATGGGATGAGTGGGCAGAGGTACTGTGTGAACGGGTACAGGAATTAAAAAAAGTACGGACACAATATCTGAATGGGTCCGGGCGGGGGAATGCAAGGGCAAAAGGTAGAGTGGGACAAGGTATAAAGCGCGGAACAAGGCTAGGTGCAGCGAAATTGTGTAGGAACGGGCTAGACACGAAACATAGATGTGAACTGAACTAAGCAAGGGTGGGGTTTTTCAGGATGGACTTCTGGACTAACGCACGTATTGTTTTTTTCTTGAAAGAAGTGGAGGTGGGGTTTCAAACTGAATGCAAAATTAGAGTATGGGAATGAAGTACGGAAAATAGGTCAGGTACAGGCAAGGGCGGGAGGAGTTTTTGAAATTTAGAACGAGCGTGCGTATCGGACTTTTGGGAAAGCAAGGGCAGGGGTTTGTAAGCAGAAAAATTGAAGTATCAAGTGTGGAATCAGCAACAGATCGACATTGAGGTAGCATGTGACGCAGATCGGAATCGGGCTTTTTGGAAAGACAAGGGCGGGGTTTTCACGGTAGTGGGAAGAAAACCATGTTTTGAAGTTCGAATGTGAAAAAGTAGAAGGACGTAGCGATCGTAGCGGTATTTATAGACAGCATGTGTAGGAGTTATTCCCCTTTGAATAGCCCCTGAGGACGCTGGCACTGGCAACAACAGAAACGCGTCCGGCATTTTGCCAGGTTGTGAAGGCAGGGCGCTGTCCCAAGCATCATCTATGGGTTCATCAGCATATCGTTTGAGTTCTTCGGAAGGATCAAAGTTTTTTCTCACCAGTCGGTTCACGTGTCGGGTTTTGCAGTCTCGTCAAAGTCGTTAAGGTCTTTTCAGTCATGGATGTTATCTGTCACCTGTTATGCCGTGAAAAGTGGTTGAATGGGTGTGCGGGATTTTGGTAAACAAGGCGTGTCTCTATGATGTTCGGTCACTTCAGTGTGTAGTTCATGTGTGTATGTGAGTGGATGAGTGAACTAACCTCTCGATAGTTTGCGAGTGAATCTGGATGTTTGCTATGGAGTTGATTGGTTGGTCACTACATTATAACAATTGCTATTTTGCGGCCTGTAACCAGCAGCTGATCTGGGCCCTTGGTTACCTTGGTGCGTGGTGGTCCAGATTGGCTGCTGATCGTTTTCAATGTCATCAACTCGCAATCTGGACCGTCGGCGGCGTTATACTGCACGGTCCAGATTGTGTATTGATCATTTGGAGATGATCGCTAGGCCAGTAGCGAAATCACACTGGGCCAGTAGGGCCTGGCCTGGTAGTGCCGCGCGGGGCACTCCGCAGACCAATTTTTGGCTTGTACACGGAGGTAACACCCGCAGCACTAGTCAATATCTGAACATACACCCGCACGGGGGTGATGTAACTAACTTTTTTTTGCGAGGCGGCTCCGGAAAGAAATGGCGCCCCTAAGTAACTGGCTACACTCCACTACCACACTCGACAGTACTATACCCTATTGTTCCTACTCGGCTGCTTTCGACTTCGACGCCATGCTACAGTCGGCGCTACTCTATGCCACTACACTCAACTTTGCTACTCTCTCTCTCTCTCTCTCTCTCTCTCTCTCTCTCTCCTCCCCTCCCCCCCCCGCCCCCCTTGGACGCTGGCCACATTCGACTTCGACGCTACTCTACTGTTATGAACTTGGTTGTCTGACGATTTTTACCGCCACTCACACACAGACAGTCTCATACACGCCCATACATGCATAAGAGAAGGGGGAGAGGAGGCAGAGTCCAGACTGTACACATATCAAAGTAGGCAGCGGAATACAGCTATGCACAGGTGGGGAGAAGACACACAGTGTTTCTCACTCTCTCTAAGAGTACTACCAACAACCAATCACAAGAAGAAACCTGTGAGGATAACAATTGGAATTCACACTGACGAAGAGCCAATTAAAACCAGATATCGTTATAGAGTTTGTTCCAGTGTCTCGCCACACTCAGAACTCCACACTCCACTCTCTACCCTACACCCAGTTAGTAGTGCACAACCGAAACAGCCTCCGAGAGGCCAGCGCCAACCACCCAGATGAAGAACAGATGGCGATGAAGTCTTCAGTGTCGATGAACAACTCTGACGAAGAAACCGGCAGCTCTGGCTGCCGCCACCCACAAACACTCAGTGAAGAGCCTCGAAATAGCCCGGCCAGACGCAGATACCCTCAGGGGTAGATGCGTTGAGGATGCCCCAGCTTCGGCAACCTTCAGAAGGGTCGGCTATGGCTGCCGTCCAAGGCAAGGGTCTCATGATGCCGCCTGTAGACAATTGCCACCGCCATCTTGCTTGGCTTCTCCAAACGCTGCTTCGCGAAAGTGAACAGCCAAAAGTCCTAAACCGTCCTACCCCAACCTACTTGTAGATTCTACACTATCCTAGCCTAGGACCTACCGGTACCGTTTTAGTCAGGGCCTACTCGGCCTCTATGAAATCGGCCCTGCTGCTGCACTTAGGGCTCAAGGCCAGTTAGGGTCGGTAACTACTCAATCCCTACTGCTGTTAATTCAGGCTATTTTTAGAACAGCGGGCGGCCCTCAGAGCAAACAAAAAAACACAGCAAAGCACACAGCAAACGCAGCAGTACACTGTACAGCCTCGCAGTCAGTCTCAGCAGTTGAAATCAGCAAGTCATTGCAGGCTTATCCCCCCCGGGGAGCGAGGACATCCGAGCTAGGGATGCAGACAAGGTGAACGGCGAGGAAGGTTGCCCTTCTGAGCCGCTTCATATCGCAGAACAACTGACTTTGTTGTCTTGAGAAGTTCCCTTCTGTAGAACCATCTGTTCTCAGAAGGAGGCTGGAAAGCGAACCTCACAAGCTACTGCCGATCGGGGTCTGTGCCCCACTCATCCTCAATCCATTCCACGTCATACCCYTTGCCAGGGATCGGTGGACCAAATTGAGGGGGCCGGTCTGGGAATGCATCAGCTGGAGTAAATGGATGCAGCTTAGATGCATGGAAGACCGGGTAGGTTCGTATATGCAACGGGACGTCGATGACATAGGATGGGCCGAATGGATCAACGCCCACTGTATCTAAGACCTGCCATGGACCCAAATAACGAGGCAACAGCTTGGGGGAGATATCCTCCTCCCTCGACAACTCAGAACTGGTTACCCAGACATAATCACCAGTCCGGATGGGGGAAGGCCGCCTATGGCGATTAGCTTGCTCAATCATTGCCTTTTGGGCTTTGAACAAGTTCGCCCGCGCAGGGCCGTTCTCTTTCCACATCTATGCGGTAGCGTCTGGTGAACTCTGCGGTGCCTGGTGTCAGGTCTGACTTAGCCTTATCGATGATATCATCGAGAGGCTGTCGTGGTTCACGTCCCCAGCGCAACTGGTATGGACTGAACCCAGTCGAGGAATGGACAAACATGTTATACACAAGCTGTGATCGAGCCAAGTGGAGATCCCAATCCTGTTGATCTGGGGAGATGATAGGACGCAGCAATTGGAATAAGACTTGGTTCATCACTTCAGCCTGAACATTGGCTTCGGGATGATGATCAAAAGTCATGTCCAATCGTGAGTGTAGGTAGTCCTTACAGTAGGACTGCCACTCCTCGCTGCAAAATCGGGGGTCTCTATCACTGACTATAGAAGTGGGCGGTCCATGGTGTGTGACCCACCTCTCTAAAAAGGTTGCTCTCACGGCCGGGACTCTAGCTACCTCTGGCAAGGGGATGAACTTTGCGTATTTGGAGAACATGTCCACGCAGACCATAACCTGACGCATGCCTCGAGGGGTGGTCTTGCCTAAATCTGTGAAGTCAATCCATACAGATTCATCAGGGCCATCAGGTATGGGTAAGGGTTTGAGTAGTCCCAGAGGAGGCCTACGCTGGACCTTGTTCCTCTGGCAAAGCTCACAGGTTTCCACATAGCGCAGCATATCACTCCGCATCTTCTTCCAGAAGAAGCATTGCGACAGGGCTGCATATGACTTTAAGAACCCAAAGTGTCCACGTGCATCATGACACTCTGACATCAGTAGTGTCCCGAGCCGCTGATCCTGGGGAATGCACAAACGCTCCTCACTTCTGCTGTAGGTATACAACAAATCTGAACTCGGGGCATGGTCGGGTTCAGAGTTGGGATCCGCTTGCAGATTCTTGACTATGGGTCCATAAGTCGGGTCCTGAGGCAGAAGACGAGTAATGATCTGACGGGTCTCCTCTCCAAA